TATGTTTTAAGTTTGTTTTGTTTTGAACCAAATGTGAATCCTTTATTCCCAAGGTATTTATGAACTATTGCTCGGTTATCCAACGAAGTATTATTTGAGAACAATTTCTTTTATTCTATTTATGAATGTCAACATGCGAGATAGAGTGTTACATCTTCTAACTTTTTCAAGGCTTAATAATACTAGTATTTTAGCATGTATATTTCACAAGTTAAATTTTCATTATATATAACTAAAAATTATAATAATTTATATATACAAATAAATATTATATTTTAATATAAATTATATTTAAATTTTTTTTGTATAAATATATATTTTTAAACATATAAATTATATTTTAGGTTTAAGATAAATAATTTATATCGTAATATAAGATTATTCTTAATTATTGAGAATTTATTTTAAGAACTTTAAAACTTAATTCATAAATAAATTAGCTTAGTTAAACAAAATATGTAAAAATGCTTTAGTCAAAGAATGACATCTAAAAATGCGTTCTTGTTCAAGATAGTCCTTCTCATTTAATATATAAGAGTTTATTTTAGTTTTAGCTTTTTTTAAAAAATAATTAGAGCATATTTAAATATAACCAAAAGTATTTTTAAGAGTTTTTTATTTAAATATTTATTTAATAGCAGATTCTCAAAAAGCTCTTTTAAATTTATGATTAAAAAGAAAAGTGTTTTAAACTTAAATTAAAACAAGTTGTTATCTACCAGTGATAAATAAGATTAAGTTTTAGTTTGCTACATTTCAATGATTTTCTTAAATTGGTGAACCTTACTAATTAAAAAAATTGATGAGCATTAGATAGAGTCTTATATATATATATATATATATATATATAATACATATAGTTGTTATATTGTGTATATTGTAACATCCCGAATTTTCTACTAATATTACGAATAATTATTATTTATTTTTTTATTTATGGAGATTTTTTTTCTTATAATTCTTTTAATTAATTAAATGGGTTTTATAAAAAAATTTAAAAGGTTTTTAATAACAAATATTTACAAAAATTATTTTTTAATATTTTGAATTTTAGTAATCCGGAACGAGCCATTCCAAACTATTAAAAGAGCCTAATATTTTTGGACTAGAATGGGCCGTTCCAACACAAGCTGGAATGAACAAAAGTTAGAGCCAGAACGGGCCGTTCCACTTTGGGAACGGGACGTTCCAAATATGTCAGTTTAGGGTTAAACCTTAACCTAGAACGGGTCATTCTGGTTTTGGGAACAGTTCTAATTTTAGAACGGGCCATTCTGACCACGATTGACGTCTATAAATAGCACGCTCTGCCATTCCCAAAAACACATTTTTTTCACTTCTGACCTTTTTTCTTCTAAACTCTCTAAAGACCAGGAGGAACCTAGAGGAGGAGACTAGCAAGATCCTGCTTCAATTTTAGCTCCTATTTATCGAGGTAATGGTGGAGTGAGAAACCTCACTCTGGGTGTGGGAGTGTATGTTGGGTAGTGGGATTGGCCCCAATCCTATGTTTGTTGTATGCTTTGTTTCTTCTTGAATGTTCTAAATTGTATTATTTTAAATATTTATTGTATGAATTAAAGTGTTCTGTGGGTTCTTGAGAGAACCCTATGAGAAATAAGTAAAATATGAATGTTTTCTGTTTTGCCTTCTAATTGTTTCGTTATATTCCTTGTTAGATGAGATATATGAATATGTGTTTAATTTTGCAAATAGACGAGTGTTGATATGAATTAAAGTACTATGTGGAAACTATGTAACTATGAAAACTATGTAACTATGATGAGTTAATGTGAAATGTGAATATGAGACATGAGATATGAGGATATGTGATAATGTTACATGACCATGAGACATGATGATGTGAAAAGTGATAATGAGACATGATGATGTGATAATGCATAGAGTCTTGATTGACATGCATCATTTGCATAAACGTTTTTTTAAGGGTACGATATGGAATACACCGCAGGAAAGGCCCCTTAGTGTAAAAGCTTTAGGGATTAGTCCTTGGGGATAGCTCGGTTTGTAAGTCCCAGTCTCGTCCATTATGTGCATGGGATGTATCTTGCGCGGCTTAGCTATCCTGACGAGACCCTGGTAGTATGTTCTTCTAGTAAGAGTGCGTAGAGGGTGTGACCCGGCATGTACTCCTAGACTACTCTCGCGTATTACTAGCAACAATATGCCATGAGATGTTTTACTGGCGCCACATGCATGATAATGTGAAGTCTGTGTCCATACATGTGCATTTTTAATGTTATATGATGATAAATTGATATTCTTATGTCTTGGATGATGAGATGTGATATTGTTGTTAATAGATTTATGTTATACATGTATTGTTTGTGTTTGGCTATACGGTGTACATTCCTACACCGTAAGCCAGGGTGAGATGTTTCTCACTCCCTTTTTTTGTGTTGTTTCCTTTGACTAATATATAGGTGACCATCAGTAGCATGAGGCTGAGGATGTGGGTGATGAAGCTTAGGCTTCTATGCTGGGTTTGCTCTGATAGGACATGTGACATCGGGGCGTAGATAGAATTAGACTAGGATGTTGTTTCTCTTTTATAAATTTTGGAAATCTTAACATCATTTCTTTGTAATTTCCATTGATTAAGTTATTTGTTTAAGTTATGTATGTGATATTCTCTATTTAAATATATTTGGTATTTCAATTATAATAAATTATGTTATTCAAATTTTGTTATCTGTGTTATGGTATGCGGGATAAAGAGTGTCACACATATGATATGTTTATTGTGTTATGCTATTCATATGCTAAGTTGTATTGTTGATGAGTTGCATTATTGTGATGTAAGTTGAAGTTGTGGTTATGTTGCTAAGTTGTTACCTTGAGGTGTTATTGTGTTACTATGTTGAGAACTAGGATGGATTGAGTTATGAGGTTTATATATATGTTGTTGTTGGTAGTAAGGCATACTGGATGGAAATGTAGCTTGGTACTACTTTTTGTAACTATTTTGTAGTGTTGTTTAACCGGAAACCTAGATTTATACTTTTGGTGTTAGATTATTATGCATATATGATGGAGGACCATCCATAGAGAGCTCACACATCAAGACCATACCATCCACAAAGAGCTCACACATGAGACCATTAGACCTTTAACTAGGTTCATGATTAGGAGGCTAGAAGAGGCTTGTATAAAGGAAGTGCCTTAGACCTATGCTCTACATGAGTATTGAATATGATTCCTCTTATTAGTTCCTTAATCTTTATTGTATATACCTTGTATAGTACTTTGTACATAATAGATACTTGTATAGATGTATCTTTGCCTGTATTTGTAAGGCACCTTTATCTTTCTTTGGGTTTGTTTTCGTCCATTTAATCCAAGGAATTGATTTAGTTAGATCTCACCATCATTTGGTGAACCTAATTAAACCAATTCCAATATTTTTGGATTGAATTAGATGAAGGAAGCACCTTGGCCGCCTAGCTTTCTCTTGGCTAAAAATTTCATTAGTTTCTCCAACACACTTGGATCTTGGTTAGCCAAGGAGACAATGTGACACTTAACATTTTATGATTGACTAATGTAGATCTAAGTGTCCCTAGCTTGCTTAACTTGCACTACAACCTACTCCACCTCTATATATAGGTTATTTCACTTGTAAAAGTCGCTTTTGACCATTTGTATGAGGATTGCCAAGTTTTCTCTTGTGAATTCTCCCTCTCAAAAATCTAAATTCTCTCTTTGATTTGCTTCCAATTCTTTTATCCTCTTTTTAAGAGTGTGGTGAGAGTTCAAGTGATTTATCTTCTACCTAGAAGTGACATCACTTGAAGAGAGTTCTTCACCTCCTAAGGTGAAACCAGAGGTTTATACCGCTATTGGAGACCTTGAAGAAGCTTGAACAGTGTCAAGAAGCCAAAAATCTAGAGAGGAACTTGAAAGAGAAGTCAAAACCATTCTATTTGCTCCTAAGAATTATACTTGTATAGTTATTATAATTATCTTAATTGTCTAAAAACTTTTATTCAAATATATATTTATTACACATGTATCCAAATATTATTTGTATGTTAAATCTAAGTGATTATATTTATATTTTTTGTTAGAAATAGTTGAGTTATAAAAAATAAAAATCTGTCGTTATTACATTTTTCAATATCATATTTAATCAAAGAAATTACAAATTGACAATGATAAATTAAAAAGTAAAATGGTTAGTTATTGATTGGATTTGGATTAGTCGAATGATTATCTATATTTTTAATTGATTGAATAAACTAGAATTTTCATCAACAGGCAAATTTAACTTAATTTCCACATTAGTACCAATCAAAGTAAATATTTGCTTAATATTTAAATCAAAGTTAGTCGGTCTCACTTATAAATGTATCTTCGACTACTAGAAATTATTATGTAATTTAGAACTATCCATGATCTTAATTAGTTACTTTGTAATATGTATTTATGTTTTTAATTTTAAAAAATAATGAAATACTTTTAATTATATATATATATATATATATATATATATAGATTAGTTAAAAATTATATGATTCAACGTCACTTAATAACCTTGTAAAAAGTATTCCTGTGTTACATTGTTTAATTTTCTAATAAATAAAATTAATAAAAAAAAATTTTGGTGTTGAAATAAAATTAATAATTAATAATAAAGATAGTTTTGAAAATTATAGTTATTTATTTATTAGTTTTTCCTTAGTAGTTGTAAAAAGAAATTTCTAAGTAATATTGAGTTTTCATTTTGGCATATAGTAATAGTAATGCAGTTTGAAACTGAGGAAATTACTCCGATATCCTTCACCGTTTGGAAAATCATGATAAATTTATACGCATGATAAACAAACACATATAATTATTCACCAAAACCAAAGAAACATATAAAATACTGTAAACAACATAATGTAAAACATTTAGTGAAGTAAATTTAATTAATAAAACAAAAGTAGAGCAGAAGATGAAGGGAAAAAAAATAGTTGTAAGAATATTTAGAATCTTACCTTCAGTGTGACACAAACTAAGGATGAGGAAAGCTCTTATTCTTCAGCAGAGTTGGTACTCCATTTTTGGATTTCTTATCTTCTTAGTCTTCCCCTCACATTTTCTTTCCCTTTCTGAATATTCTCCTCGATTTGAAGCTGTTGCGAGATAGGCAGCTTAGAAATATATATACTTAGCAATGGATCCATGAAAAGAGCGCAAAGTAAGTGATAAGATCTTACCTTGAGAGTGAAACAAAGCCAAAAACAGGAAAGCTCTTAATCTTCAATTCATTCACCTATCAACTACTCCTGTTGTCTGTCTGTCTTGAGAGATGCAGCGTATGATATATATATATATCCATCTTGATGTTTATTTGAGTGAAATTTCATAATATATTTAAAGAAAGGAACAAACCTGATCTGATATGTTGTTGGAATGTAAGTTGAGATTTGTGTTCCCTTGTCACAATTCCAAATGGTGAGCAATGAAGTGAAAGTGATGAAGAGAGGAAAAAAGCAAAGATATGTGGAAGCTGTAAGTCCCAAGAGAATACTGAGAGAGAGCGCAACAAAAGAAACGGGGAACAAACTATATAAAACAAAACTCTTCTTCACCTTTTCTTTTTCAAAAATATCGTGTTTGGTAAGAAGAAATTAAATCAGTAGAAAATTGAGTAGATAAAAATAGAAAATAAAATAATAAAATTAAATGAAAATAACATTGTTTAATTTGAAAACGTCAATTTTTAAATTAAACAATCAATTCAATTAAATCATGTAATAACTTTAAGATATTATGTAAAGGTTGTTTAACGGATCAAATATTGCACCGTTTTGATTTATCTATTATGTAAAAGGTTGTTTAACGGATTAGTTATAATTAATTATATAACTAATTTTGAATATATAAATAATTGTTTTAAAATTATAACTGATTTTATGAATAAAATTGATTGTAATTTAAATATAATAATTTCATTCATAAATGGTTATTAAATAGTTATAATTCAGTTATTTAAATAATTTAACCATAAATACCTAATTAAAGGAAGCATTAATGTTATATTCAATAAATAAATAAATGCTTGTCAGGGGTGGGTTGGTCCGTTCATATCTACGGTCTATATGAATGTCAGAATTTAATATTTTTGTGGTAATTAGATATTTTTAACTTACACAATAAAGGAATTTATTTCAGAATTATCAGTCTATGATAGTAGTATTATGTCAAAATTCCTACGTAAAGATAAATTGTATTTAATAACGTCTAGTTAGTAGTTACACAACAAACTTTACAAAGCTTTTTTTTTTTTTTTTTGTAAAATATGACAAACTTTACAAAGCTTATTAAAATAGAAAAATATTGACTACTATTTTTTTTTTAAGGCTAAAACCCTATTTTGGTCCCTTATATTAATTGTTTGTTTCAATTTAGTCCCACTTTTATTTTTGGTTTCAATTTGGTCTTAAACTAATTAATTGGTTTCAATTTAGTCCCAAATTAATTAATTGGTTTCAATGTGGGACTTCCGTCCAAATTATTTAAACAGAATTAACTTTTGGCCACGTGGATGCCACGTAGATACATACGTAGATGCTATGTGGATGACAATTTTTGGCTAAAAACCTATTTTGGTCCCTTATAATAATTGTTTGTTTCAATTTAGTCCCAATTTTATTTTTGGTTTCAATTTGGTCCTAAATTAATTAATTAGTTTCAATTTGGTCCCAAATATATTAATTGGTTTCAATTTGGGACTTCCGTCCAAATTATTTAAACGAAGTTAATTTTTGGTCACGTGGATGTAGTTTTGATCCCTCAAGTATTACAATTGTGCAGTTTTGATCCCCAAGATTTTAATTGGGTAATTTTAATCCTTAAAGAATTGCAATTGCGCAATTTTGGTCCTCCAATTTTTAATTGAACAATTTTAGTCTCTCGAATATCATAATAGTACGATTTTAGTTTCTCCCATTAAAAATTAATAATTTTAATATATATATATATATTGTTTTAAAATTAAACAATTATTTATCTATTCAAATTAAAGTATATTATAATTTTCGATATTATATCAATAATATTATTAATATATTTATAGATAAACTAATAATTTGATAAATATAACTTGTTATATATTAATATACTTTTACAAAAATATAAATATATAAGATCAGATATATATTTCTAATTAATATACTTATATTTTTGTAAAAGTATATTAATATATAACAAGTTATATTTATCAAATTATTAGTTTATCTATAAATATATTAATAATATTATTGATATAATATCGAAAATTATAATATACGTTAATTTGAATAGATAAATAATTGTTTAATTTTAAAGCATTATATATATATATATATATATATATATTAAAATTATTAATTTTTAATGGGAGAAACTAAAATCGTACTATTATGATATTTGAGGGACTAAAATTGTTCAATTAAAAATTAAAGGACCAAAATTGCGCAATTATAATTCTTTAAGGACTAAAATTACCCAATTAAAATCTTGGGGATCAAAACTGCACAATTTTAATACTTGAGGGATCAAAACTACATCCACGTGACCAAAAGTTAACTTCGTTTAAATAATTTGGACGGAAGTCCCAAATTGAAACCAATTAATATATTTGGGACCAAATTGGAACCAATTAATTAATTTGGGACCAAATTGAAACCAAAAATAAAATTGGGACTAAATTGAAACAAACAATTATTATAAGGGACTAAAATAGATTTTTAGCCTTTTTTTTAATGAGTTGTATTAGTGCTCTAAGTAATGATTTTGAAATAAAAAAATTATGTTAAATTCTACTTTTGATGTTTTCATAATATTAAATTAACCATTTTAATTTTTTATTTAAATTTATAATTTTAATCCCTCAATTTTATAAAATTGACAATTTTAATTCTCTTATCAAATATTCATTAGTCCATTAATAGTTAAAAGTTATAATATTAGTCAAGATATTACATTAAGTTAATGACATAATTATTAATATTTTATAATATTTAGATTAAATTAAACTTTAATTCTCGTTGTTAGCTTATTTTTGTTTTATTTTATTATTTTATGAGATAAAAATAAAAATAAAAATTAAATTTAATCTAGAAATTATTAAATTTTGATTTCATGTCATTTTTTATATATGTTATATAATGATTAACGTTGTAATTTTATTGATCAATGAATTAACCTTTGATGAGTGAACTAAAATTATTAATTTTATAAAATTTGGAACTTAAAATTATAATTAAAAATAAAGGGAGAAAAATTACAAAATTAATATTATATAGAGGTCAAAAAGGCAATTCAGTCAATGAAGTATTAAAAATAATGTAATAATATATATATCTATAATCAATAACAATATATAAAATGTCTGTGTATACAATTTTTTGAATTATTTTATCTTTATAATTACTTTCAAATCACTCTCACTTACTATCTTTTTATTTTATTTTATTTTTAAATCTCTTAATTTTAATTATATAACAGAGACACATAGTACCTTTCTTTCACTAATTTTATATAACTTTAATATTTTTTAAATAATAAAAATTATACATTAACTCCTTAACTTATATTTTAAGAATAGTATTCGGCAAACTCAATTAAATATAAATAAATGTTAATCAGTATCCTTAAAACTCTAATTAAGGAATTGACAGAAAAAAAATTTATTGAACTGTAAAATACCACACAACTTTAACATAATTTTCTATAAAAAACCTATTTACGCATTAACTTTTATCCGGTATCAGATTAATTGGTTAGCAAAATCTAAAATATATTTATACCTATATATAAAAGCTAAAGCGATTGATTTTTTATGTTGTGTATGTAATATTTGAATTTTTTTTATTCTTGAATTTTTAAATATAAAAAATAATATTAAAATTTAACTATTCTTACAAATTTAAGATTTAAACTTAAAATTTTGAGAAGTTCAAAAACTAGATTGAACATTAATTGATTAAAAAAAATTAAGTGATTCTTAAAACATCTTTAAATAAATATAGAAATACGAAGTATTTTGGCTCTATTAATATTAATAAAAATTTTATAAAAAATATAATTAAATTTAACTTAATTTTACAAAATTAACTTCTAAGATAATAATTATTAGTCATTCCATGCTCTATTTTAACTATTTTATTAGTCGATGTAAGATTTTTAATGTAACTTCATGTCAAGGATTAAATACTTTTATTATTCATAATTAAGTTAAAATTGATACAAAATTCTGTTGTAAAATCAATTTTATTATTGTTTTAAAGAGCTAAATTAATCAAAATATTAAAGATAAAAGATTAAAATAAACATTTTAATAAATAAAAGACTATAATAAATTAAAAATAAAATAAAACATAAAAAAATAATTTAACATATTTTTATCACATTATTACGTTAATTCACCTAATATGAGATGTATGAATATAAATATTGAAGAAGGTGATGTGAAATTGTGAATGTTCACACTATATATACTAGATGTGGTACACTATTATGACTATTGGAAGATGATTGGTGCCTCATTTATTATCTATGTCATGTACGTACCTTGATATTCAATTTTCAACCAATTTCTCGCAGTTAAGTTGTTTCGCAATAAAGGCATTAAAATGGACACATGCGAAAGCAAAATGGTTGGAGACTTGGCATGAATCATAATGAACTGACAGACCCAACTACCTCGCTGTTAGTGGTTGTATTGTAGCCATTTTGAGCAGAAAGTTAATTCATTGGCGTGTTTGAGGGACTGTAATACGTGGTACACTATTCACATGAATTAGCACATGTCATAATAGAAATGAAAACGTGGATCGTACCTTCTCCCCACGTCCCAATACAGAAATACTCGCAACCCTCTGTTTGTTTTAAGTGGTATACTGTGTTTGGTTGCAAGGAAAAAATGTGACAACATAAATAATTCTTGTAGCTCTTATTTAAATTTTTATTTTTCACCCCTAATGCAAGAAATGACGATGAAACTGATGAGTTAGTCTTTTCTTTTCGGTGGTCACACTCATAATAATAAATATTAATTTTATTTTAATATATTTCTTTTCTCTTGTTCATTTAAATCAAACAACTATATTTTTTTTTCTCTTATTTTCCTCTCCTCTCTTTTAATGTTATAAAAAAATATATCAATAGTTTTTTTTAAAAAAAACATTTAGTAATCAAAAATTTAAAATTATTAAATACTGTCTATTATTTTTCAAGAAATCATTAAATATTTAAAAATGATTACTATTCATCTTAAAATTTAATTTTAAAATTTTAAAACTATTTACTTATTTATTTTAAACCAAATCTTCCTGAAGTGTAAATTAATAAATAATGATTAAATGTAAAATCATATAATATCAAAATTAATATTAGAAAAATGTCATTTTTTTTTTGCAAATTTTCTTAAAAAAATATTTGTAGATTTTTTTTTCCAAATTTTCTCGTAATAATAATTTTATAAAAAAAAATTGCGAAAAATAATTTATAAAAATTTCTTACAAATTTTTTATGAAAAATAATCCATAATTTTTTATTTTTATTTTTTCAAATTTTGCTACAATTTTAATGATCATAGAAAAAAATTTTCATAGTAAAAATTTACAGAAAATGTTGTAAGAATTTTATTTTCTTTCTTGCGAATTTTCTTATAAAATTTTGTATGATTAAGTGTTAGATATATAACTTACATATTTTAAATAAATTTATTGTAAACATTTGAAAGTTGAAAAATTATTAATAGAAATTATACAAAAATACCTTCGAATAGTAATTTCTTTAATATTTTTTTTGCAAAAAAATTCGCAGGGAATTTCACAGAAAACTTCCTGTGAATTTTTTTCTGTATGAAACTTTCCTATAAATTATTTTTGTATGAAAACTTTTCTACGAATTTTTTTTGCAGAAAAGTTTTTTGCGAATTTTAAAATTCGCAAAAATATATTATCTACGAATGTATTATCAAGAGATAAAATTTCACAAAAAAAACTTGTAAAAACAATATTTTTTACAAATTTTTATGAAAAATTCGTAGAAAAAATCACATATAATAAAAAAAATTAAATAATAAATATCTTTCACATACTACAAATGGTTTCAAAATGGATAAAATTTTGTTCAAATGACCGACTTATACCAACATAATAGAATATCATATATTATTATGACTGTCCAAAGATGCTTGCTGCGTCACTTACTTATTAGCTATGTTATGTACGTACAAATAGAGAAAGCTAGAGGTAGAGAGGCCTCGAACTCAAGCAGAATTTTTTTATTTTGATTGAGCTCAAGTTGAGATGCTATTGAAACTCCATAATATACTACTATTAATAGATGAAAACATTTTACGATTAATTATTTTTATTTATCTTTTATTTTTTTATAAGTTCCTATATAAAATGTTTGTTTATTTTTAATCTTTATAATTGTATAATTTTTTAAATTCCCATAAGAATATACGACAGAGATAAAAACAAAAAAACAAAAGTAAGATCTATTAAGACTAAAATAAAATATTCGATAAAATTCATGAAATTATAAAATTTTAAAAAGTAATTAAACTTTAAGCCAATATTTTATGTAGGACTTAAGTGTAATTTTTACTATGATCAATTTATTAATTTATTTAATATTTCTTAATCATAATATTAATATAAAATATTTATAAAAAATGGTGACTAATCTTCACATGAGTCCATAAATATACAGAAAAGTAGATATTCTTCTATCATTGTTAAAACCAGAGATTCAAAACCTTAACACCATAGTTATTAATCTAATTTAGTTTTGTAGTTCCTCTACACGATTATACATGAGTTGCTAATTCACTGTAAGCGCCAGCAAAGAAACTACTATCAAGTTCCAAACAAAATAATTTGACTTCAAACTAATTGCTAAATGATTTTTCAAAATTAAAAAGTTAAATTTTTAAATAGAATCGAAATCATTGTTTATGGAGTTATGGTTGTGTTTATCTTTAAGCATGATTTTCCTTGTACAGCTTCCTTAATTCCAACCAACGACATACACAACGCTCCCCATTATCAAAATTTAACGTTAGGAAGTGGCATATCCCGAGGACAATTGAGTTGAGATTTCAGAAATTTCAGTGAAACCTGTACATTTTCCTTTAGTTTGATGTTTCAGTCATGGCTTCCAACGAAGAAGTAACAGTAGGAATTCCTTTAAGATATTGGGTGGACAATGAAAAAAAGCGTGTAGTTATGGCGGAAGCAAGCGGAGACTTTGTAGATGTTCTCTTCAGTTTCCTCACCCTTCCATTGGGAACTATCACCAGGCTTGAGGTCGAGATTGGTTGCATAAAAAATCTGTACCAGAGTGTGAGAGATTTAAACCCTGATGTATTCTGGAACAAGATGTGCAAGGAAATGTTGCTTTTTCCTCACAACCCTTTAGAAGCCTCTTGCCAGAGACTAAAAGTGAATGTGGATGACACACGACCCACAAAGTATTTCATGTGTGACACCTGTTCAAAGAGCAATGGTTTGCTGGTGAGTACTTTTGATGGGGCAGCGTGCTCCTGTGGGAAATTGATGACAAACGAAACGGAGCTGTTAAAAGAATCCAGAGAAGGGGATAATGGTGTTTTTGTTAAGGGGGATGCCATGTTCTTGATCTGTGATGACTTGACAGTCCTCGAAAGCTCTCCAGGTAACGCAGTACAACCCCTCCGCAAATATGGACTCAAAGACTTGAGCAAGATTGAAGAAAAGTCATTACAAGTTGACACGGACAAGGTAATTAATATTGCTTTTCATTCATAACGTGTCTGCAAACTTCTACTCAAATTTACCTGTTTAATGAATTATAACTTGCTTTTTTTTCCCCACCCCAGATGATTAGGGTACTAAAGAAGGTATTAACCTCCAAAACTCCTCTAAGTGATGCATTCTTGGAAAAAGAATCTAGTCCATCCGACTCTTTCTCACGATACATTGGCCCAAGTAATTGGAAAGGTTCAGTAGAAATCAAGGTAATGGTGAGTAAATCAAAGAAAGAGATTCTGTTTGCTAAAGAAGATGGAAATTTTGTTGATTTTCTAGTCAGCTTCCTCACAACACCTCTTGGGTCTATTCTGAACCATATGAATGGTAAATTATCCTTGGGAAGTATTGATAACTTGTACGCAAGTGTGAAGAATCTGGATTCATCATGGTTCATAGGATCATCGAAGAAACTGTTACTGAATCCAGGAGTGGCTCCTCAATTTGGTTGTAAGAGCATTCAACTAAATGTTTTACAAGAAGTCCACACTCCTGAGTATTGGTATGGCACTCCGGTGACAGATGATAAGGGCAGTGAAAGGAAAATGATTTCAACGAAAAGAGATATGTTACGAGATCCAGCAGAAATGAAACTTTTTGAGCCAAGATGTTGTGATGGAGCAAGAGAACGTGCAGTGGGATTTGTGAAGAGGCCGTGTACATTTGTGGTGAGCGATGATTTGGAAGTGAAAACTACTAGGAATGCAATTGAAGAGACAACCACTAGCATTACGTATCTGCGAGAAATGGAGAATCTCCGGTTGGATGATTTGGAGGAAAATTCGGTGAAAATCACCAAGTCCCACGAGGTAATATTCACAATCCACTCTTCATTTACGACTTATTCATTCACGCTGCTACAATATTGGTGTAAGAAAATTCAATTCATATCAATGCTTTTAATTTGGTCAAATAATTGAATATAATGAGCTTTACATTATTATTATTATTATTTCTGGTCAGGCACTGAACCTGTTGAGGGCATCTTTGACATCCAATGGAGCTGTTTTGACACAGAACCTATTCTACCCGATGAAATGGAAATGCCAAAGATTCACTCAATTTTGGAGGAAGAAAAAAAGAAATATAAGAAAAAAACTTGTTTTTTTTTGGTTCAAATATTTCACATACTAAAGGAAGCACTAACTTCTGAATCTCCTCTAAGTGATGGATTATTGAAAAACAGAGAACCTAAGCCATCCTACTCTTTCTCATCAGATATTGGCCCAAGTCATTTGAAAGATTATGTGAAAATCAATGTAATAGTGAGCAAATCTGCTGAAGTTGATGGAGATTTTGTGGATTTTGTTTCGGAGAGTCTCTCTCATCAACTCTTAAAGTTCATTTTTATGCTTTCTTAATTTTTTTTAGGAAGAATTATCATAAACATGTATGAGTATTCTCCGTTTATTCTAAAATTAGAATTTAATCCTTGAGAACCATTTTGTTTAATCAAATTATTCAATAGTTATATATATATATATATATATATATATAATTTCTCTTTTTGATCTCAATTCCTAGTATTTTATATATGTAAAGTATTAAAAATTATTTTTTATGATTTTAAATATTTAGGGAAGAACTAAAAGACGAACCTAATTATCAAAATCTTAAAAATTAAATCTATTTAAATCATAAAAGTAGATTTAATTTTTCAAGGATTAATTAGATTAACAAAGAATATTATGAATTTAATTGAACATAACTACCATGACAATAGCAGTTAATTCAATTAGATACTCATATGTATAAAAAGAACAAATAATACTTTAGATTAATTCATCTTCAAGGATATTTTAATAAAATAATGAATGATACGATTAGATAGATAGAGACTCATAGCACAAACCCTAATCCTATAATATATTTTAACTATTATCAAAATCAAATTTGTTATCTTGATATTTAAGTTTTCTTATCTTATTTTCTTAAAATTATCTTTTCTATTATTAATTGCAAAAAAAAATTATTATCTAATTTTGATTAATTAATGATGTTATACAAATTAAAACGCGATCCATGTAGATCAATATTTTTTATTACTTGATGATAATTCCTGCACTTATAAATTTTGTAAGTTAGGTGTTCCTTTATTAAATATAGAAAGATACATTCTATATAAGGTGTTGTGTCATCCAACATATAATGTTTATGGTAAAGTCAAATGTTAACTCATTCCATAACATTTTATGTCGGGTGTTGTGTCACTCAACATAAAATGTGTTTTCTATGTCAGTTATATTTACACCTTATATAAAATTATTAACATATATTATAAATTTGTCATTACACCACATTTTATGTTGTGTAGATTATTTAACTTAGAATTCCCATCATAAAAAGTGGGAGCAAATGCTCTCACTAACATTTTTGATATTTAATTTATATATATATATATATATTATAAATTTATAATAATGTGTTCACATTTTCTATGTTAAAAAGTTAAGTCAAAGTTAATATATTAATTTTTTAAATTTTCTTATAATATATATAATAATCTCCTTGTCTCATAAAAAAGTGTCATATTTGAGAAAAAGATAAATATTAAAATAAATGTTATATTAACTTTTTAATGTAATATTAATTATTATTTTTTATTTATAGTATCTTTCATAATATTTTTAAAAAATAAATATTATATTACATAATTAATCATAAGGTTTTTTTAATTCTTTGTAAAATAACATAATATGATACTTATTATAAAAAAAATACTAATTATAATTAAGTTAAGTTATTAAAAGGATTAAAGAGTTGCGACGGTTCTAAATTCCTGTTATACTATTTTAAAAATAAAAAAATGTCAAATTTTTATATAGAATATGGATGGTTAAATCATTATTTAGTTATTTATATAAAAAAGATATTTTTTTTAAGTGTTAAAAATGATAAAATTATTCAATGATAAAAAGTGGTATATCCCGAGCACAGTTGATGAGTTGATATTTCAGAAATTTCAGTGAAACCTGTACATTTTCCTTTAGTTTGATGTCAGTCATGGCTTCCAACGAAGAAGTAACAGTAGGAATCCCTTTGAGATATTGGGTGGACAATGAAAAAAACCGTGTAGTTATGGCGGAAGCAAGCGGAGACTTTGTAGATGTTCTCTTTAGCTTTCTCACCCTTCCATTGGGAACTATCATCTTACATGAATCCGAGGACAAATTTCCCCACAACCAATCGGTAATGATTGGTTGCATCAAGAACCTGTACCAGAGTGTGAAAGATTTAAGCACTGATGTTTTCCGGAACGGGATCTGCAAGCGAATGTTGCTTTCTCCGCGCAATGCTTTAGAAGCCTCTTGCCAGAAACTAAAAGTGAACGTTGATAATACACTTCCCACAAAGTATTTCATGTGTAACATATGTTCACCGGAAAGTGTTTCGTTGCTTAGTGCTTTTGAAGAGGCAACGTGCTCGTGCGGGAAATCGATGGATAAAGAAGTGGAGTTGCTGGTAGAATCCAAGGAAAAGCCTGAAGAACCCAAATATGATGGTGTTTTTGTTAAAGGGGATGCCATGTTCTTGATCTTCGATGACTTGAAAGTGCTCCGAAGCTCTCCAAGTGACTCTCTTCAACTACTCCTCAAACATCGACACAAAGACCTCAGCAAAATCAATGGAATGTCTAAACATGTCAGCACACAGAAGGTAATCAATATTGAACTTACCTCTTACGTATGTGTGTAGCTTATAAGTGGTAACCTTCCTCGAGTTCCTTAATTTGCTTGTAAGGTTGTAGATGTGCAGGACCTTTCCTTTACATTGATAGTGATAAGAGATTTCTTTGCGTAACGAATTATAATTATAACTCTACATACTTAAAACTTTTTTTTTTTTTAATCCAGATATTTCACATACTAAAGCAAGCATTAACATCTGAATCGCCTCTAAGTGATGTATTATTAGAAAACAGGGAATCAAAGCCATCCTACTCTTTCTCACCATATACTAGCCCAAGTCATGGGAAAGATTGTGTGAAAATCAAGGTAATAGTGAGCAAATCACAGAACAAGGTTTTGTTTGCTGAAGTTGATGGAGATTTTGTGGATTTTCTAGTGAGCTTCCTTACAACACCTCTTGGGTCTATTCTGAACCTTATGGACGGCAAATTATCCTTGGGAAGCATTGATAACTTGTATGCAAGTGTGAAGGATCTTGATTCGTCGTGGTTCATAGGGTCATCAAACAAATCCTTACTGAATCCAAAGGTCGCTCCTCAATTTGGCTGTAGGAACAATCCGTTAAATGCTTTGCAAGAAGACAACACTCCTAAGTATTGGTACGGCACTCCAGTAGAGAAATATAATATGGAAAATGATGAAAAGAAAAAGATTTCAAAGAAAAAAGAAATGTTACGAGATCCTCCACAAGAAATGAAACTTTTTGACCCAAGATCTTCTGTTGTCGGAAGTGATGTTCATCAGAAATACGAATTTATGAAGAGGCCGTGCTTATTTGTTGTGACAGACGATCTGAAAGTGATACCAATAACAACTGCTTCTAGCTTTCCATATCCGAAAGAGTTGGGGAACTTCAAGTTGGATGATGTAGAGGAACATATGGTGAAAATCAGAAAGAAGTCACATGAGGTAATATTCAGTTATTCACAATCTCCTTTTGATGACTTGTTCTTTAGCTCTAGCACAATTTTGGTATAAGAAAATTTAGTTCATATCAATGGTTTAGTTAACATTTATCTTAATTTGGTCAAATAATTAGCTATAATGAACTTTGTACAATATTTTTTTTCCTTATTATCCATTTTCAATTTAGAAGTTGACATTCATTATTTGTATTTTTGACAGGCACTGAACCTGTTGAGGGCTTCTTTGACGTGCAAAGAAGCTGCTTTGACGCAAAGCCTATTCTACCTGTTGAGGAAATGGAAATACCAAAGATGGATTCCATTTTGGAGTGTACTGAGAAGGAAGAAAAAGAGACACGGAAACCAAAAAGAAGTGGAAGAGAAAGAGAGTGAGGGTGCGGAGAAAAAGAGACATGGAAACCAAAAAGAATTGGAAGATAAAGAGAGTGAGAGTGCGGTAGTATGTGGTATGAGAAACAGAAAAAAAAGATAAGAAACGAGGTGGAAGAAAAAATAAGCACATGTTAACAATAGCGGGAGAAGCCAAATGATGAAATTTAAGCCAAAACTTTATGCTACTTAGAATGTTTGGTTTGTGATTGGAAGAAATCTACGGTTGATACGAATTAATTTTATGTAACTTATGGATGAAGAAACAAAATAAAAGAGTGATGTTATATGATTTATATGTGAATCATGATTCAATCTCGATTCGATATATGAATAAAATTGATCAATCCATACTAACTTATTAATATTTAAAAAAAAATTAAAAATGTTTTTTTTTAACAATATGTGAACAGTTAACCATAGTATTATTTGATTTTTAGAATGTTTATCCTTTTTATTTAAATATATTTCTTTTCAAAATTCTATATATATACATATATATATATATATATATATATATATGTATATTTTTTTTCAAAAATTTATATATATATATATATATATATATATATATATATATATATATAACAAACATTTGAATTTAGTAACCATATATTTTTAGTATATTAAGAGTCATGATGAATTGAGATTCTTTACATTTGTATGTAAATCATGAATAATAAGTTGAATAAAAAATTAACAATCTTTATTTATTTCAATAAATATGATTTTATTATGTTTTTAAAGTTATTTTGATTTTTATAAAATAATTGAAAAGTTTAGACCAATATTTGGTTAAAAAAAAAAAAAGAATAAAACATTGCTTTTACTGGACGCTGCTCCACACTAGATTAATTGACAGGAGATAAATGAAAATAACGTGTTAAAAATTAATTTCGATCAGGATTTGAATCCAAGTATTTTTAGTTTTTGGTTAAATTTGTGAACCACCGAACCATTAGATATAATCAATAAGTAAATGTGAAATTGTTTTTATACACGTAGTTAATATAAGATTATAATCATAATAGTTTATCAATTTTATTTTTTTACTTATTACTAAAGATGAAATATTATTTTATATTAAATATTATACATAATACCAATAAAATTATAAATAATAATGTGAGACTTAAAGAGGTGAAAGAAAATTTATTTCTCTAACTCACATATTTTTTGTGAGTTGGATTGAACAATCTAATCCAATAGGTTTAAACTCTCAATTTAGCAAATCAATCCACCAATTTACTTTTTTATTTTAAATTTTTAAAAAATAAATTTAAAGTGAATTTATATTGAATGAATATGTTTTTAGTTTGTAGTTTAACTTTTCTTGGACAATTATTTTTATTTTATATAAAATAAAAAAATATTTTTCTAATTACATAATTTTTACTAGTACATTTATAATACTTTTTTAATAGAAATATATATAACATTGACCTTTGCATGAAAAAGTATAATTTTTTTAATTAATTTTTAAATTTAATAAATTTTTAGGTTGAAATAATAATGTATATTAAAATATTTTAATAGAGAGCTTTTTTAAAAAAATTTAGATGAGTTGAAGGTGGATCAACTTACTACTCTAGTAAAATATAAAGTCCATCTATAACTTTAACTGTTTTGGAGGAAGATGACGGAGAGGATTTGGGGGATGCCGGTAGAGAGTCAACCACCCTCGGAACCGTCGGATGGGGGTGTTGGGGGTCTCAAGCTGGGTCAGTCCTTGACCTTTAAGGAGAAGGTACTGGGTACCCCGGCTACGCGGCCGGTTGTTCGAGATCTTATCAAGGAGGGGGCTATGACGTTAGAGTTCGAGGGTGGAGACCGGTTGTTTCCTAAATTTAGCATCACGACACCCACGTTGAAACAGTTGTGTGAACCATGGGAAAAGTGCCTAGTGATCAAGCTGCTAGGGAGAGAGGTGGGGTTTTTAACCTTGCGGGACAGACTACCTGCGTTGTGGAAGGTTCAAGGAGGGCTCGAGTTGCTGGACGTGTCGCATGGTTACTACATGGTGAAGTTTGATTTGGAGGCAGATAGAGAACGAGTCATACACGGGGGCCCTTGGATGCTCTTTGATCATTATCTGATTGTTCGACCATGGTCCCCGGATTTTGTTGCGTCAGCAACGAAGGTCGACAGCACTTTCGTCAGGGTTCAGTTTTCGGGACTCGAAGTGATGTTCTATGATGAGAGTGTTCTCTTAACGATTGCTTCGGCCATTGGAAAACCAGTCAAGGTGGATCTGAATACCCTGAATATGACACAGGGTAGGTTTGCACGGGTCTGTGTCGAGATTAATTTAAATGTACCAGTTGTCGGACGGTTCTTCCTTAATGGGGTGTGGTATAACGTTGAATACGAGGGCTTACACTTGCTGTGCTCGGCGTGCGGCTGCTATGGGCATGTTCTGCGAAATTGTAATCACGCGAATAAGATTGAATTATTGGCGCACGATGAGGGGGAGAAGGAGGCGACGGAGCAGCCGTTAGGAGACCTACCGCAGAATGCAGAATCTGCTGCTCTATCAGGAGAGCAATCCGCCCCGCAAATTAGGGGGGAAATCCCGCTAGATCTGCATGGGGAGTGGTTGGTGGTGAAGCGGAGGAATCGGAGACAAAATCCTGGGAAACCGTTGAATAAGGGTAAATATTCCCTTCATAATGTTAATGCAGATTTTTAGGCGCAAGATCATGCCCATCAAAGTTTATCTACGACGGGAATTAAAATAGCAAAGGAACCATGTACGGAATTTAAAAATTCACGTGAGGTGAGGTTGCAAACACGTGAATCAAAATTCGTTGATAGGGGCCACGCAGACCATGCATCAGGGGCTAAATTCGTTGATGGGGGCCACGGGTTGAATCAAAATCCATTTGGCATGGGGCCCACGTAGGAGAGTAAGAAACGTAGTAGGGGGAGGGTGTTGCGGTACGTCCACGGCCCACGATTTTTGCACCAGCCTTGGGCTCGTCTATGGCCCACAGTCCGCACGCTAGCATTTCGCCCCAGGATCACGTATTTGGCCCACATTTGGTGCAGGTGGGACCACCGGGGAGTTCAAATATGAGTATGGAACCATGTGTGCTTCAACCGGGTTCCACGACTAAAGCATTACATGTTTCCGAGGACGATGATAATGAGGCCCTGGGTACGGAGGATGGTATGCAATATGAAGAGGAGGTCATGGTAGCTTGAGTCCCTGTCGTATCTAGTCGTTTTTAATGTCTATGGAATTTAATATTTTGAGTTGGAACATCAGAGGGGCTGTTAATGCCAAAGGTAAAAGGAGGGTTGCGGAGGCTCATCTTCGGGAGTTGTGGGGACGGCTTACGTTGCCATGGCTGGTGCTTGGAGATTTCAATGAAATTATGTTGTCATCAGAGTGTAGGGGTGGTCGCTTCTCGCCATCACGAGCTTCACAATTTCTGGACGTTCTAAATGACTGCAATCTTCTTGACATGGGGGCTAAGTGTCTACGCTTCACGTGGTATAGAAATCAACGCGGGGTTGTGCTGGCAAAGAGGCTAGACCGTGCGGTTTGCAATGTTGAGTGGCAAGCTATGTTTCCAGAAGCATATGTTGAGAATCTGTGCATGGTATACTCTGATCATTGCCCTATTTTATTAAGGCGCAAAGGCTCCAGAGACAAGGCTCAAGATCGACCCTTTCGGTTCCAAGCTGCATGGGCCACCCACAAAGGTTTTGAGCGAATTGTTAGGGAGGCGTGGGGCCGTAGCACGCCGACCCTTGCTAATGGATTATAGGCTGTTCGTGTTGATGCCATCAAGTTTAACAAGGAAGTGTTCGGGAATATCATTACTAGAAAGCAGGCTCTCCAGCGACGTCTCAGAGGGGTACAATTACAACTCGAGATAGGAGAATCAGAAAGCCTGTCGCGGTTAGAGAAGACCATACAAGCAGAGCTGGATGAAACTTGTCTTCAGGAGGAGTATCTATGGTTTCAGAAGTCTAGGGAAAGGTGGGTGAGGTTTGGGGACCGAGATACGTCCTTCTTCCATGCTCAAACACTCGTGCGAAGACGGAGGAATAAAATTCAGGGGTTGTTTCTACCTGATGGGTCTTGGCATACGGATCCTGGGGTGCTGAAAATTGAGGCAGTCAGGTTCTATAAGGAGCTTTTCTTGAGTAATAACGAGCGAGGGCCTTTGTACATGCATGCTGGGGTGCCACCTGGCCTGGGAGTTGAGGCCCAGTCTGCCTTAACGGCCCCAGTCACGAAGGAGGAGGTTCACCGGGCAGTGATGAGTATGAAGTCGTTCAAGGCACCAGGGCCGGATGGGTTTCAACCATTTTTCTTCAAGCAGTATTGGCCTATTGTAGGGGAGGAATTATGGCGTACAGTGAAGGATGCCTTTCGGTTGGGGTTCTCAGATATATCCCTCTTGGAGACACAAATGGTGTTAATTCCGAAGGTGAACCATCCGGTTCGCCTCAAAGAATTTCGTCCTATAAGCTTGTGTAATGTTGCCTGGAAGGTTATCTCTAAAGTGATTGTGGCTCGAATCAGGCCCTTCCTGCAGGACGTCATTGGCCCATTCCAGGGCAGCTTTATCCCTGGGAGAGGGACTCGCGACCAAAGTATTATTGCTCAAGAAGCAGTCCATTTTGTACGAAAGGACGGTTCAGGTGTGGGTTCCTTGGCCTTAAAGATTGACCTTGAAAAGGCATACGACAGGGTCAAGTGGGATTTCTTGGAGTCTACGCTGGTGCAATTTGGCTTCCCAACAGTTACTACTCAGCTCATCATGTGGGGGTTGAAGAATTCGTCAATTTCACTCCTTTGGAATGGAAGCACATTACCGTCCTTTGTTCCGTCTCGTGGCCTTCGACAGGGGGACCCATTATCTCCGTATCTGTTTGTCTTCTGCATGGAGCGCCTAGCTTTAAGGATCGCTGAGTTACTCCAGATGGGTCATTGGAAACCGATTCAGTTATCCCTTGGGGGGCTTCCGCTTGCACATCTTCTTTTTGCCGACGACATTTTATTGTTTTGTCAAGCTACAGAGGACCAGGCCCGGTTGGTGGCGTCGACATTGGAGGAATTCTCGCAGTCATCAGGCTTGAGAGTTAATTTGGCCAAGTCTAAGTTTGTGAGCTCTAGAAGGGTTTTACAGAGGAGGATAGATGCTTTGGAGGGATTGCTCGGGATTGGACACACAACTCAGATCGGAAAGTATTTG